CCTCCACGTCGCCCTTTTGCCCGCCCTTCAACGACTGTCCTCAACCCCTGCAAATTCCTCCAACAATCTACATCTATTGTTTCTTACTGCAAGTCCATCTTTTCATTGTTTTTCTTTTAAACCTATTGTGACTCACTGGGGATGATGTTGGGTTATTATTGTCATTATTTCCTCGCTTTCTCCCCTTATTTCCATCTCCTCCTCTTCTACACCTTCGTAAGTATGACTATTTTCGGAAATCTTTCGTTTCCAATCTTCTCTGCTTCTTCTTACTTTTTTCTAACTGCTCTTTCTTTTTTCTTGAGCTTATAACACGCACCACGGGACGTACATGATACATAGCTAGATATGCCAAGTTCTCATTCTCTAAATTCTGTATACTGTTTTCTGTTTGTCCGCCTTTCTCTCTTTCTTTTTCTCCTCTTACTCTAAACTTCTCATCTCTCTCCACTCTTCCTCTCCTTTCCACTTTCTCTCTCCTCTCTCTCCTCTCTCTCTTCCCTCCTCTCTCTCTTTCCCTCCTATCTCTCCTCTCTCCATCTCTTCTCCTCTCCTCTCTCTCCTCTCTCTCCTCTCATCTCCTCTCACTCTTTCCTCTCCTCTCTCTCCTCTCTCTCTCTCTCTCTCTCTCTCCTTCTCTCCTCTCCTCTCTTTCTCCTCTTCCACTCCTTCTCGCTCTCTTCTCTCCCTCGTCTCTCCTCTCCCTCTCGAACAGAATAAGTTCTTTTTTCATGTTGTGAATATATAAAAAGTATCACAGTAATGTACATCTAACAAAAGAAAAGACAATGACAAGTATTACAAAACGATGAGATCTGTAACCCAAAAAAAAAAAAAAACAGTATTATATATACAACAAAAACAATAGTGACAGATACACATCAAACTCAACTCAGGGAACGTGTATATAAAACACATACTCAGTGACAAGTTATTAAAAAAAGAGAGGAAATAAAGAGAAATCAAACAATCATAGTGATAGACGAATTAAAAAGGGAAAAATACAAGGAAAAAAATAAACAGCGCAAGAAATTCGATGGGACGCTTTCATATTATATATACAAACATAAAACATAATGACATACACAGAATACTCAACTCAGGGACTGTAATTATAAAAACACATGGAACGTGTATATAAAACATATACTGAGAGATGGATTTTAAAATAGGAAGGGAATAAAAAGAAATCAAACACAATGCATAGTGATAGACGAATTTAAAAAAGGAAAAAAATACAAGGAAAAATAAACAATGCAAGAAAGAAAACAATAATGACAGATACGCATCAAACTCAACTCAGGGAACGTATATATAAAACACATAGTGAGTGACGAATTATTAAAATAAAAAAATAAAAAGAAATCAAACACAATGCATAGTGATAGACGAATCTTAAAAGGAAAATACAAGGAAAAAATAAACAGGGCAAGCAAATTCGATGATGACGCTTTACATATTTGCGCGGGAGTCCTTCCTGCTGACGTCACCCGCTATTCCATCCGCAGAAATATTTTCCTTTTTACTGTTTTTCGGTCTAAATGTTTTAAGACGAACGTTTCTTAAACTTTCTAAGACAAATATCAAAATTGGTGTAGTTTCTTATACTACTGGACAAATAGTAGTACATTTTAATAGTATTTTTTTTTTTTGCTTTTATTTATTTCATTTATTTCATTTATTTATTTTTATCAACGAAAGCGGGTGGTTTATTTAAGGAAGGTTATCTATTTTCATGATAAATGATGATGGTGATGACAGTGGTTGCGATGATGACGATGACGACGACGATAATACAATGATAATAACTAATAACACAAATAATAACAACAAAAGAACCAATAATAAACGAACCAAGAATATCAGCGGACAGCTAAAAAATGACGTAGCCTTTCTACCATGAAAGGAACCGTTACGTGCCTATAGAACCTATTTTAGACCCCCTCCCTCCCTCCCCCTCCTTCTCCTCCTCTCCTTCGCTTCTTCTTCTTCTTCTTCTTTCTTCTTCT